GGACAGCAACAGCCTACAGATATCACGGATCGCTTTACTACGTGGTTATATGTAAGAGTGGCAGGTAAAGACAGACAGGTGATAATAACGAGACAGAGATGAATGACATCAACGGTGTTATATGCGCTGCGCAGGGAGACAGAGGACAGCAACAGCCTACAGATATCACGGATCGCTTTACTACGTGGTTATATGTAAGAGTGGCAGGTAAAGACAGACAGGTGATAATAACGAGACAGAGATGAATGACATCAACGGTGTGAAATGCGCTGCGCAAGGAGACAGAGGACAGCAACAGCCTACAGATATCACGGATCGCTTTACGTGGTTATCCGCTTTACGCAAACCATCATCATGCACTTAGCGTTAACGCCATTTTTACGAACAAAAACGCACATTCAAGGTCGGCATGATGGATGGCCCATCGTTACTGCACGCTGGCCGTAACCCACTAACCACGCACAGACCTCTACAATGACATCTAGTAGCAGCAGCGGCACGATGGGGAAGAGAAGAGAGGGAAGAAGACGCAGAAGAGAAGGGGTAAGGAGGCGGGAGAGGAAGAGGAGAAGGAGGAGGAAGAAGAAGAGGATGAGGAGGAGCAGCAGCAGCAGCAGCAGCAGCAGCAGCAGAAGCAGCAACAATAGCAGAAACAGCAGCGGCAGTAAATGTAGCAGACTGCTAGCCATAGAGAGAGCAAATTCTAACATCGCGAAATTCGCTTATATAAATGCTACCAGAGATGGCAATGAATTTCGTAGCATCCAAGAGGAGCCTCCGGTGACCTTGAAATGCTGATGCATCCTGAATGTACGTCCTGCGGGAGGAGATGTATAGATCCCGTAAACATCCATCCCACCCGACCCTGCGGCAACAGTACGCGGGCAATAGTCCTAGAGCTAACCCAACCCCAACACAACCCAACCCAACCCAACGCGCGTGCGTGCGTGCGTGTGCATGTGCGTGCGTGCGTGTGTGCGTGCGTGCGTGCGTGCGTGCGTGCGTGCGTATATGGCTCTTAGTTAACAGGTGATATATATATATATACATGACAGTCACGGGGGCTTAACCTTCCACCAGACTGTTAAACTATTCAAAGAAACACTACTCGCTGTAAATCACTCACCGCTCCTCGTCAATGCTCGTACCACTCACGTACATCGCCTCACTTATTTACTCACTCACATCAGGGCATGTATACTTGCGTGGCCTTACATCTATCCACCCACCCACTCCCCTACCCATCCTGCCTTACATCTATCCACCCACCCACTCCCCTACCCATCCCCGCACCCACACAGCCTTCCACGCCCACCCACTCCCCTACCCATCCATGCCCACCCACTCCCCTACCCATCCACGCACCCACACAGCCTTCCACACCACTCACTCCCCTACCCATCCACGCACCACACAGCCTTCACGCCCACCCACTCCCCTACCCATCCACGCACCCACACAGCCTTCACACCCACCCACTCCCCTACCCATCCACGCACCACACAGCCTTCCACGCCCACCCACTCCCCTACCCATCCACGCCCACCCACTCCCCTATCCATCCCCGCACCCACACAGCCTTCCACATCTATACTATACAGAATACACACCCCGCACCCAACCACACACCCACAGTGCCATCCACATATACACACACACCCGTACCCAACCACACTACCATCTACTCTACGCACCTACCCACGCACCCACCCACCCATCTCCAAACCAACCAAGGCACGCACACACACGCGTACGCGCACGCACACCCAGTGAGGTAACGCAGCACTGTCACATTTGAAGTTACTACATACTTCTCGTGTAACTACTCCGGACAGTAATTAACTTTTACGTACGTCATCATGACTCATACCTAGCAGACCTCACGCTTACCTCAGCTTACCTCACGCCATGGCCGAGTTAATGCCACGCAAGCCACGCAAGACAGACAGGCCTACGTGACACCCGGGACGGGGTGACACCGAATACGTGAAACATACGTGACAAATCGGTAACAGCATCGCGACACTAGAGTAATACCAGCATAACACTAGCGTGATACCATCGTGACACTGGCGTGACACGTACCACATAAAACATGCGTGATACCATCGTGACACTGGCTTGACACCTACCACATAAAACATGCGTGATACCATCGTGACACTGGCGTGACACCTACCACATAAAACATGCGTGATACCATCGTGATACCATCGTGACACCTACCACATAAAACATGCGTGATACCATCGTGACACTGGCGTGACACCTACCACATAAAACATGCGTGATACCATCGTGACACTGGCGTGACACCTACCACATAAAACATGCGTGATACCATCGTGACACCTACCACATAAAACATGCGTGATACCATCGTGACACCTACCACATAAAACATGCGTGATACCATCGTGACACCTACCACATAAAACAT